ACAGAGAACTGTGTGAATTGGCAGTGGGAAGATCTGTGGACGGTTGCGTAGACACAGCCGGCCCAGAGCTGTTATAATATCGCCAAGTAAGTTTTCTCGGGAAAACTCGTGCTACAAGTTTAAGTATTGCAAATAAAATCTATAAGAGTGTTTTTGTGTGTATTCGAAGTTACATAATATGGGGGTAGTGTTTCGATATTTGTTTCGGGGATTTCGCCAGAGTAGGCGTGCGTCTGACAAGCAAGGTTTGATTTCAAAGGGGCGAAAAGGGACCACGTTCTCCTCCTGCTCGACTTGGACGATAGCAGCAATTCGTCGTTCCTTTCGGAGCCACGCAAAGTTCAGACGATAAATTATTAATACAGGTAATATATATATATATATATATATCTTATATGTTTTGTACAGCCCGATAAATGGGGTTACGCGGCAGCAAGAGTTCAATGACGTTCAACACTGTCGTTTATGGTCGCCGGAAACAGTAACAACAAAGCCTTGTTCAATCTTTCCAAAAAACGACAATATAGTTTCGTCTCAATAATTAAGGCGACCGGATCGTGCCAAGGAAATGGCTAACGTTAAGGGTATGCGAATACAACGATGCATTTGATTTGATTTGAACTGAATAAATAGAGCGTTTAATTCGGAAAACGAGTCTAATATTATTAATTTTAACGTGGATTTGTTATTGGGCTGAATACGAGAAATTTCATGTCGTTTTCGCGTTACACTTTCACTTGCAGTTAGAGATAAAAGATTAGGAACGAGAGCCAATAGATAAGTGATATGAGATAAATGATAAGAGTAAAGTGATCAGAGACAAGAGTTAATTGATAAGGTTTAGGGGTAGGAGACAAGTGATAGAAGATTAAACACATTTATACGCTATTTTCGCGTTACACTTTCACTTTCAGTTAAATATAAGATATCAGTGATTAGAGATAAGAGATTAGTGATTATTAGATAAGTAATAAGATATAAGATGCAAAATTGAAAAAATTGGTAAAAGATAAAATATTGAGAAAGTGATAAATTATATATAATACTTATGAAAATAAAGTAGTATTTAATAAGTTTATTTTTTAAAAAGTTAAAATGCGCCGCAATTTTAAGTTGAAAAACTTCACATTTTTTAGTGTAATTTTTTTTTTTTTTAATCTTTAGTCGGATGAAGTATTTTAGCACTTCTTTTTTGATTTCTGATCTATAAAATTGCCACACTAAGAAGCGGATTTACAAGTCATAGGTGTGAATTAAACAAAATGGGGTACCTAGATAAATAATAAGAAACTATGTTTACAACTTATAGAAAAAAATCAGGCACCGTTATGGAAAAATCTTGCGTTTTGCTAGTAGGTTAATATAAAGCTTCATAAGTTCAGAATGATTAATTCAGCTCAGACCGCTACTGCGCAGAAGTATATTATATATGTATATAATATTATGTGTAGTTACAGCACAGAGGATATTATAATCATCTTTATGTACTTAACTACTATTAGCATTACACGGATAGAGGCAAAGCGTTTCACTTTTGAAGTTGTTCGACTTCAAAAAGCCATAATTTATGCACATAGGATATTGTTGTTAATGCTATTGTGTATAATCTAACAATCAACTTGTCCTATACATTTCAATAGACACCATACTTGCAATTACCAATATGTTAACTACATCAGTCTAATTTTTTTATGATTCTAATTTTTTTATAGGCAACGCTATTGAAAATTAAATTACATTTTGTGAGTAGCAAAGTATATAATATATGTACATACTTTTTGCTATCCGTTCTATAATTTTAGGAAATGAGATTTATTAATTTTTGTTCATTAACACCAGATAAGTCAATAGTCTTTAATACGACTCAGGTCTTAACTCGAAAGTTTGACAAGTCTAAGTAGTATTCTAAGAGATAAAAAAAAAATAGGTCTTACAACGATTTTATAATACAATTCTGTAAATCTCGTTTTTCTGTTCTTCGGCGATAACGTTTAATCTTGGAATTAATACAAACTTTTCCCTGTGCTCTATTTGAAAAGACAAATAAATACCATGTACAAGTAGGTACTATACTATTTTACAATTGGACCATCTCTTACAATATTTTGACATTTACTGAAAAAATATATACCGTACTCGAGAGATAATGGAATTACCAAAATTTGTAATTTATAAAGTATGATATTAACAATGAGATATTTAAATATCATTAATAATAATTGTCAAAGTATTCAACAAAATGTAATTATATCTGACAGCCCAACAAAACAAATAAAATTAACATTGAAACTTTATTTCATGTTGCGAATAATAGCATTTTTGATATTACAAAAGTGTATAATTTTCAGTGGCCAAGATAAATAACTCCATAGTTGAATTTGTCACCACTAGAATGCGCTAAGTACGTTGGAAATATTGTATTTACATACATTGTTTCAAATAACTTTGACTGCCTGTCCTGAAAAATTTCATTTTATAGAGTTAATAGTCGGTTTGGCTTCTGAGCGCCTCGATTATCAACAGCGGTCGATGACAGCTAATCGTTGGACAATAATCAGTGTAGATACTATAATAATTAAAAGTCAAAACGTTTGAGTCTTAATTCCTTTTTAATTTTTCGGCGTTTTTCTCAATTCCGGAGGAGTAAGAAGAGGAGGGGTGGAGTTTTTTAATTTACCTATAAAAAAAACCTAACATAAACACTAACTATTGGAACATTATAATCGATTCGGGTACAAAGCGCCGTTAAACGTTGTTCTTGTTCGGCCGGGGGCCTGCGCTTTTGTCTGGTCCGATACATTTTTCTTTAGGTTTTTTTTTTTTTTTTGCTGTTCTTTTTACCCTCGGATAATCTCGTCCGATTGTCCTGTCTCGCAGTGATTGATAACATATAAAAACGGCGCACGTTGTGTCTTCTTCCGGTGCAAAAAAAAAAAAATAAAATAAGAAAAGAGCGTCAGTCCGTGTAGTGATGTATCGACACGTTGGCGACCTCTTGTGTGTCGGCTAATGGAAATCGGTTAAATAGTTCCGTCACCGTCAACATTCAAGTGTGAGCTATTTGTCCTTTGTATATATGTGTGTGTGTCGGATTGAAGTGTCTACGCTGGTAAAACGCGCACGTGGCAAATGGAAATGTGCACAATACATCTGTCATAGGCCATTAATGGTAATACATTTTACTGGAAATCGTTTCGCCCCAGATAACCGACTCTGTCCGACACCGAAGGAATACGAATAAAATACAAAAAATACAGATAGTTTACAGGATAGTTGATTACAGAATTTGCAAATGAAATAAGTGACTAGAAAGAACACGGGAATATGTCACAACAAACAGGGTTAGTCTTAACAATTTCCATAGTATACTGTTCTGTCGGCTGTGTGTGATTTTTATTTCACACAACGGCCACAATGTGCATATATAAACCTATCGTGTGGACACAATACATTCATGTATAACATGTAGTAGATACATTTGTGCCTGTGACTAGACTATAAATAAACCACCGGTTGCAGATTATTCAATAAACATTGTACATAATCCGGCTTAGGAGCAAATAACGTAGGCCCTAAGACAAACGGCTACGGCGGTTGATCTGGCTCGTGTGCAAACAGACTACATGGGTTTTATAATATTGTTTTATTGCATAGTATTCGATGAGAAAGAACCCAATTAGGATCTATATTGGATGCAACGACTGCCAATGTCAAATTAACTCATAACCACTACAGGCACGGGGCCAAAGGCTAACGTTGGAAAAATAAAAAAACTACACTGGCGGAGAATAGTATCTTTAAAAAAAAAATGTTTTACATTTTACTACATTTTTATTATTTACGGAGCTTATGAATGTTAGACTTTTTTTACAAATAACATTTGATATTGTTTCTACACACAAAGAGCAGATGAATAATAACTAATATACAAATACGGTACGTTTGTAAAGCAAACCGCTTGACTTTGTTTCGTTTGCAAGAAGGGTCATTTGTGTGTATAATCTATTCGCCTCGAACCTGCCTTTGGAATAATAACCTATAAAGTATAAATACTTTGCCGCAGTCCAGATAATAGAGTAGCCGGAAATTGTATTTTTTAGAAAGTTTCCTATTAATAAAAAAACAATATAACCAATTATTATTATATTTTTTTGGTCATATTTATTTTATGACTTTTAGCCGGATAGAACATAATACTAGACGGGAAATCGATCCCCTAAAATGCCATTGCCGGGAACTTACTCTAATCCGTATCGTAGCCCTAAGCTTTCAACCCTCCCCGGCCTGTCGGGGTTCAATCATATTAATGGTTTTCAAAATGAGCTACGTCTGTTAACGCATTACCCGGAAAACAAACATTGAATCATCTATTCGAAGTTGCCTATTGGAAATCACAAATCACGAACCCATCAATTAATTAACTATAAGCCCATTCGTTGACAATATTATATATAATTTAGGTAAAATAGAAAGAAAAAAAAAAAGTTCCCTAAAATTTCAAATCCGAAATGTATTATACCAACTCGTTCGTCGTTGCACTTACACAATAAAAAATGTTTTTATGACTCTTTGCAAAAAAAAAAAAAAACTAATAATAATGAAGATTATCCCATTGAAATTGGCCTGTTTCAATACCCCAAAAGCCTGTCAAAATTTTGACTACTTATAATGATGGTCAGATTCAAATTCTGTAGGATGTGACTACGATTCGTCAGGCTACTTTTCTATGTTATGTTATTTATTTTATTTAATTACAACGGGCTGAATTTTTAAATGAAAATCGGTCTCCAACAATTCCTTATCTTTTTGCAGGCAAAATCCAAATTGGACCAGCCAAAGTCTCACACTTTTGTCAAATTGAAAGCGTGAAAGTTTTGAGTGACCTACCAATTTATGAGATGATTTTTTGCAGGAAATATTACAGAATAATTTATATTTTGTTTACACTAGCATAACTACCTCTTTGGATTGTGTCGCCATTAATTTTTTTGTTTTTACAGTCGGGCAAAGCAAGCGTGACCGTCAAAATAATTGAGGTCTGAAATTGTTGGGCGTTTTAGTCTTTGCAATGGAAATTATACTGAACACAATACAAGGACTATTCTAGGACTCTAATGGCTGGTACATATTGCTATTACTATACTATTTTTGTGCAATATAAATGAGTAAACTGATCCAATCATTTTGGCCGCATGAATATCATGAATATTATATACGAGGAAATTGATTTTGTTGGTTATGAAATATTTTTAACAAAAGTGTACACCGATTTTCAAAACTTGCGTAACGTGTTTAAGTGGAAGACTATTTCAGGAATTTCCATCGAGGTCATGACATCGCATCGTTAATAATTCCACATCCGTTTAACATCGGCTTATGTAAGGTTCGTAAATTGTTTTATTGTATGGGAGACTAACCTAACCCGTACAATACATACCGGCATCGTACAACAATAGTGTTTTCACAAGTTTTATGGGAAAACGAACGGATTACTTTTGCAGTGTTCTCTTCGTCGAGGGCCTGTTGTGGTGAAGTTGGTTTCTTGAGTGTGTTTTCTGTTTTCTGTTGGTCAAGGCTCTTTAGCGATAAGGCACAAGCGTTTTTAAGTGGTTATGTCGTGTTCCCGGTCGAGTGGTCATTGTTTTGTCCGTTCTTTCAAAACCACAGTGTTATTTCTGTTTTTTGGACTTTCAGTTTGACAGTTCTGAGCTTGTTGACGGTGACACTTTCAATTTTTACCGCTTTGTAATCACGGTGTATAACAACACATACAGGGTGTTCGAAAACGGGCAATTTTCAGAGCGGTTATTGATTTTTTTTCTTCTTCAAATTTTGACTCCATCCAAAGTCTTGCAGTCTTCCAAAGATATTTAAATCGGACTTTTCACGGATTTCCCACCGTTTATTTTCCTATTACTTATGGCCGTACACGACTTCTATACTGCACTTATCATGCACTCCAACGGTTACAGTCAAATTGTATGACGCCAAAAGGCCGCCACCAAGACACGAATACACTATAAATTATTTCGGTTAATTCGCACGTTGAATGTAAAATGTGCGGGCATTTTGGGGTAACCGCAAAATATGTTAATCGCGACAACACTCTATTCGTAACGCTAATCATTAATTATCCGGCGAGTACCATTGAGCAATTGATTTATTTGCGACCGCGTTTCGGTTTTGCGGTATACTTGGGTATGATATATATATATATATAAAATCCAACCGTTGTGCTGCTAATTTAAATTCTATACAAACATATTATATAGAACGATGATCGATAAATACCGCCCGCCGAAAATAACGTTTCCATATTATAGTACATATCATTTTATGGCTACAATGTCCATTAATAATACACCGAATAATTTTAATCCAAAGAAAAATCCATCATCTTATCATTAACTGTGTTGAGAATATACGTTTAAAGTTGTGTAATATAGTAATCTTTATAAGATGACGTTCGTTCCTAACCTAGGGCCAACTCATGGTTTAACTGTCTAGGTGTAATAACAATATCGTTAATTTATTCGTATTATTATATGTATATGTATAACCTTTGCACAATGGATGGTATCCTTTGTATGCGTTTTATTACTGATAACATTGCACGTTAATATTACATACAAAGGTAAACAATATAAATATTATGGCACATTGGCCGGAATCGGGAGGTTACCAAAATGAATACCTTACAGAGTATCTTTATTTGCAGGATGATAAAGCGTAATAACTATAATTTAGGATATTATGGTAGCAATAATTGAAATAATGCGTAGTATGTTATCTTTATTTAGCTTAACAATGAACTTACCTTCTTAATAATATTTAAGTATAAACCGTACTCGAGAGATAACGGAACTACCAAAATTAGGACTTCATAAATTCTAATACACCTAAATTAAAATATTATAATTTTGCCTGATATATTTTATGTAAGAGGTTCTAAGTAAACGTATTGCCCAAAATGTAATTATAAATTATAACCGAATGGAACAAATTTACTCTAAACCTTATCTTAGCCCTAAGCTTTCAACGTCCTGTCACGTCGGCTCAATCATATTAATGGTTGACGAAATGAGACACTTCTGTTAATGTTCTTTTCCAGAAAATGAACATTAAAACTTTATTTGAACATTCTTTTTGGAAATTACTTTGTCAATGGGGTAATTCGATTTTTAGTAGTTTTATTTTCCCTTTAGGGACAATTATTATTTTTAATGTTTAAAAAATGTATCTAGAGGATCTCTAGACATTAATTTTCTTGGAAAATTATTACAATATAGTATTTTTTTTTTATCGAAAACCTAAAACTATTGAAAATACTAAAAAAAGTAAATATTCGATATTTTTTTATAATTTTCCATTAGAATATAATCAATATCTCTTAAAAGAAGAACAACTGAACCATAATTTTTTTCAATGAAAACGAGCGTCTCGCCTGAAATCGATCGCCCAGAGAGCCACCGCACAGTTAGACGTTGAAAAATGAAAAGGAGTTCGGCCAAATTCCCACGTTTGCTTGGGGGGGGGGGGGCATGTTTTGTTCGCCTTTTTGCACCTCGCCATCCGCCCTAATCCGACCGAGACGTTAAATGAGATTAGAAGGTCGGCAACGACGACGGGGGTACGTCACCGATGAAAGGTGAAACGGCTAAGTGTCAGAGCGTAAACTCCCAGGCGCATCATTCGGTTTAATATCTGTTGGCTCCGTTTGACATGTAGTGCTCGTCGTGAATTAAGTGTCCACCGTATCACATACAACATCACCTCGTTAAGCGTATGAAATATACTGAGAACGGTGCTACGGTAATTTCAAAATCGTTTCCACTAGCTACAGTTACACAGTGAAACTTTCACTTCCAATTAGGGATAAAATATTTGGGATTGGAGATTAGTGATAAGAAATAATAGATAAGAGATACGTGATAAGTTATAAGATTTAAATGATAAGCGATAATTGATAAGAAATAATATAATATAAGTGATAAGAGATAAGTGATAAGAGATTAGAGATGAGATAAAAATATAGGAGATAAGAGATAAGTGATAAGATACAACATAACCACGATTAAATGTTTTTCCGTGGAGCGGGGAAAATAACTGGGTTTTCTTTAAATCCAATTTTCTGTTCTTAAGCGATCTAAAACTCCTTTAAAAAGAAAAAGTCCTCACCCCTTTTGGGAATAGTTGTCGATGAGATTTTTCATTACGGATAAGTACTTTCAGTCGATTCCTAATAAGATGTAATTAAGTTATCTGATTATCGCTAACCGTTTTTTTAAACTATCAGTCTCGATCAAGATAAGAATATGCAAATTTAATATAATAATATTATCTGCCGGGTAGCGTTTCTTTTTTTTTTTCTGGCGTCAACGCGCTATTACTTTTCAATAACGTCTTAACCTTTAGAAGAAAAAAATGAAGTCGAGTATTACACAACAAAGTCGTTACACCAATATCATTCCATTTCACTGGCAATATTATTATTCGCGTTATCGTCGATAAAACAACACGGATTTGAGTGCTCCGGTTTGTTTATTGTAAGAGATTAAAATCCACTGCGGATTTTGCCGTATAAACGTCACCGAGATTATTCATACCGTATAAACGGAAATGCTTTCAATAATATTATTCGTACATATTTATTTGTATACAAATTTTATAATTCCAGTAATTTAAATTTTCGACCACGTTACAATATACTGAGAAATAATTTAATATCATTAAACCTATGCCATATAAAACACCAATTTGCAAATTGCCCAACAAACATTGTTCGTATAGCTTAGTAGAAAACCTAGAGCCTGATAATCAGTCTTATTTTAATACATAATATTAAATTAGAAAAAATGCATAGGATTTGTATAAAGACCACAGTATCAGCCGTAAATGGTATTTTAAAATGTTTTTCTCCTTAAATTATATTTCTAATGCTTACAAACTTCATGAACATTGAGTCTTTTATCATTATAGTTGTGTAATAGAAAATCTATTATTCTAGATAGCGAATGAGCTGCGTTGATATTTACACGCTTAAAGTTGTAATTTCTGGAAGATTGTTCAAAAACTTAATCAAACTCATGACGTTCGTTTCTAACCTAGAGTCAACTCGTGGTTTGACTGTCTCGACGTTATGATAATGTTGTTAATTTATTCAAATTATTATAAAATGTATAACATAATATTTTATACAATAATACAACAATTTGGGACGTTATCCTTTGTGTGTACTTTATTGCTAATAGCATTACAGGTTAATATTGTTTATACCTAACAAAGAAAATTGATAATATCCTTAATATTAAGTACTAAAATCAATGATTGGGGGGTAATTATGTTTTTAGTAGTTTTTTGCTTTACCCTTTTGGGACAATTAATCGCCCGAAACAGTCTTTCTAAAAGCGATCTTCAAAAAAGGTATACCTAAATGTATTGAACAAAATGTTATCATGACCCTTAGGCCTTAGGTAGCTGAAGGGATCAAATAAAACCGTCTTGTCATGGACGTTTAATTAATTAAATTTTTTCATAGAATTGCGTTTCCGTTAAATCCCCGGCACACGATAATAATTTTATCCAGCTAAATTCTGTACAAATATTTTCGCCAGAGATTATGCGTTATTTTATTCAAACGGCATACCTACTTATTATACTGTAAATGTAAATTGTTATTTTAATGTGGAAATTATTCGTGTGGCATTTAAAAACGTCGTCCGAACGAAACGCAAATCGCGAAAGTCATCAGCAAACAAGCCGCGGCTGCCAAAATAATGTACAAAAGTTTTGTAAATCATTATTGGTCCAAATGGGGTGCAAAATAATGACTTATGGGATTATATAAACTCACTTCTCGATCGGAAAGAGCAATAAAAAAATGTATACATTATATTTTTATGAACCGCGTTTTATCTTACTAAGTCTATTTGAATATCGTCTCGACAAAATAGTCGTTTCGTTTTAACACGGATACAAGAAATGTCGCCATTTTCGCGTTACACTTTCACTTGCAGTTAGAGATAAAAGATTAGTGACAAGAAACAATGGATAAGTTATAAGAGATAAATGATAAGAGTCGAGGGATCGGGGACAAGAATTAATTGATAAGGTTTAGGGAC